TAATTTCATTCTATATTGATTACAACAAGAGTGCAAAGAAGGCTGGCTTATGTGTGAGGGCACTTTTGGAGCCACTGTACACTGGTAGGAACTTCCATAGGGCAGTTCTTGTGGAAGGCTGACCATCTTGAAGAGGGATGCTGCAGTAGTGCAGGATATTTTAAGTAGGTATGGTCTAGGGGTATATTTGCTTTTTTCACCACTGAAGGTGTAGACATCTGATGCTGCTGCTTGAAAGTCATCACCCATTTCAGCTGGGCAATAGGTAGTATATCACAGTTCTTTTGAAATAAATTTAGACTAGAAATAAATGTCAGTTGCCAATCCAATCAGTATGCCCTCACCTTACATTGCTAAGGAAATACTCCTTCAGTTTTTCTGTTTAGCACAGCTTCCCCATAGGATTTGAAAAGGTCAGGGTTGTCCTGGTACTGTATATGAGGGAGGGATGGTTTGGTACCCAGCAGAAACAAAATTAAATATCTTTATGGTCTATTTATTGCTTTAGCAATTCTATTTCAGAGAAGCTCCTAACTTTTTCAGAAAGGCAGAGTTCAGAAGCAGCTTTTTCAAGGGACCAGGTCTTTAGAGAAGGAACGTATGTTTCCACTCATTACCTGCTGAGAGAAAAGAGAAAGAATAAGGAAACACTTCACCATTTACTTCTAATAGAATTTACCATGTGTTGATGCCATTCAGGGGTAGAGGTCTTAATGGTAGAGAAGTTTATTTTGACTGCACATAGGTTTTTTTCTCTCAGGCAGAATTTGAAACAATGCTCTTGAAGGCTTAGAGGACTTGTTTTAAATTAAAGAAAACAGCAGAAAAGGATTAAATTAAAATCTCCATGGGAGAACATGGTGTGAACCCTCCCTGTAAGAGACCACAGGCCTCATCAAAACTTGAGAATTATGCAGAAGTAAAGCAGATTGCACTAGCAGTATGCTACAATTTCATTTTACACAAGGTGAAGCTGTACTTTCTGAAGCTTTCCTTGCTTGTTGAGGTCTAGAAGAATCTGTTGTTTGTAAATCATCTTAATAGGAAGGACACTTGAGGAGACCACCTGATTTAGCTTACTCAGATGTAAACATGGCCTAAGTCATTTAAGTGTCCAACTCATGCTTTTGTAAAATGCACAAGATGGAAGTAGAGAGCAGTACAGGCTTCCCCGTACAGACTTTCACATTAAAGAAAACCTTTCCACATTTTTTTCTCTGTCACTTGCTATATCCTTTAGGGCCCCCATGGTTTTTAATTATTCTCCAGGAGCTGAGGGAAGCCTTGCAGCCAGCCTATTGTAGCTGATAATTAATAAACAGTTCCCATTTTGAGTGGATGCAGATATTTTTCATGTTGCATTTGGCTTGCAGAGCTAAGGCAACAGTCAAACTCTATTGAGCAAAGCCTTGGATTGTTCCCTCCGCTCAAGCAGGAAACCTTGGAACCTAGTTGTAACTTTATTTTTTATATTAATATTGTACTGATTTATTTCTTTTTCTCCAAAGAAGGGAAACAAGCAAACAAACAAACTGGTAAAGTATATCCAAATGAGCAAGGATTTAAACTGATAGCTTGAATTTGTTTCATTTCAACACAGAAAAATAGTTTTCCAAAGCAGCTTAGCTAAAATTTATTGTAAAGAACACCAGAAGAATTGAGGAGATTTCATTCAGTGTTTATTTTATCCACCAGTGAGCAGGACTATCACACCAAACAGAGGAATGTGAGTTTCAGAGAAGGAGTTCTTCAATGACACCTCTGAAACAACCTTCTTTTCAGAAGAATTCTACCAGAATAAAGCCCTGTCCCTTGCTTATGCCCCATCCACAGCAAACCTGACTGTCTTGAGGATTGAAGAGAACCGCAACCATTGATTTTAATTTTTTCCCCTGCTTTGGCTCTAGGAACTCCTTCATAGATATTCTTCGTGCGATCCTACTTTCCTTGGAAGTGCTCATTGAAGATCAAGAGCTTCAGATAAATGGCTTCATTCTAATTATAGACTGGAGCAACTTTTCCTTCAAGCAAGCTTCCAAGCTTACACCATCTATCCTCAAACTGGCCATTGAAGGGTTACAGGTAGGTGGAGGCTAACACATGTACCTGCAACTTTTATTGCTGCAGACAGTGCTTTTTCCTTCATCAGGCACTGGTCAGAGTGAAGGGTGAAGAAAATAATCCAGAATGCTTTAATGTCCTATACACTTGCAGCATAGATTGATTTTCAGACATCTCATTTTGTCTGTCGTTCACTTTTATTTCAGCTGTAAATCAGTGTAACCAGTATGTGTGTTACTTACTGTAGCATTAAGAAGGAGGGTTAGAGATTTGAGGTTTAATCCATCAGAGAATGAGGGGAGGATTAAAATCCTGTGGCGTCTGCCTTCTGTAGTGTGCAGCCCACATGGAAGCACATGTGTATGTGGAGGGAGGGTGACAGGAGAAGAGAGCAGGTCCCTCAGCAGACGGAAGTGTGTTGTTGTGTTCACGTGGATGCATTTGAGTTGGAGGGAAATGAGGAAGAATGTTGTGCCCTCATTCTGACTGCCTTCATTTGTCTTGCAGGATCCTGTTACATTATGGTTCAGACTGTTCAGGGGCTGCAGATCCATTTGATGCTTGCAGATAAATAGGAGCAAGCTAAAACTGTGTGCTGTTACAGGGTTAGGTGGAGAGTGAGGACAAGGCAGCTGGGGCCTGATGGGGCAACCTGAGGATAAGGCAACCTGAGGATGGGGTAAGCTGAGGATGAGGACAAGCTGTGGTGCTGGGAGAGGACCTCAGCCCTTTCCACCAGAGTCTGAGCCCATCTTTGCTGTTAGACCTGAGACAGATTTGTAGGTCTGAAGCAGTCTGACACAACCTTATTAACTGAGGGCATTTGATAGAATCCAAAGACTATTTAGGCTGGAAGGAGCTCTGGAGATCACATTGTCCAACACCCTTCTCAAAGCACTGATTTCAGTCTCAGACCAGGTTGCTTGAGGATGACACATTTCAAGTTGCTACATATTTAAAAGGAGAGATAATATAAGTCATTGTTTTTTCATTTTATTTTTAGTACCCATCAGATATCCCACAGTTATAAATGCCTCAAGAATAATCCTCCCTGGAGTGTGTGTGTTTATTTTAACTTTAACTTACATACTAGAAAGAACAATTTGTACAACTTATTTTTTGACTAACAAATTGTCTACAATTAGATCATGATTGTCTCTACTTTGTGTTATTATTAAAAAATGAGGTAGAAAAATTTGCCAGCAGTTTTAAGCCTCTATTCCCCTTTGTGATGAATTTTCATCTATTCTAACAAACTAGAAATTCAAGCTGTGCAATTAGTCCCTAGGACAATACCTTATCTTCTCCTGCTGATACTATCACTTCATCTGCCTTCCTTCACTGAATAACATTCTGTGGTGAAAAAATAACCCCTCCAGTCAGAAGAAAGATAAATCCAAGTGACATTCATAATGAAGTCAAATTCTAGCAAGGTGTCCTTGTACCTGTCCTAATTTTGCTCTTCCATCTATTCAGTAAGAGGCCAGTCCAGCCTGCATCCTGTCTGATTTCTGGCCACTGCACTTGCCAGGTTGACTGCCTATGCACTGTCTGTCTACAGTTTATTTGCAGCTCTTGCCAACAATATGTTTCTGGAAGTACCAAAGCTGATCTTATGATTGTGTCATTAGCCTCACAACTTGTGCTGGGCAATTTAAGGAGGGTGCCTTTCTTGTGTGTGTCTGTGGGCATTTAATTTCTCATTTAAAGTCAAGTTACTGCTGTCTTCTCCATGATTAGTAGAAATATAACTCTTTCTAAAAGTACGAATTGGGATAGCATATCCTAGACTTAACTACCCATGAGCTTGGTGAGTTGTAGGAGTTGTGAATGCTGCACTCCAAGGTATCAGACTCAGAAGCAAGTCATTCATGCTTATAAAGCACATATTTAGCAGGCAATGATGGTGAGGGCTGCTTAGGTTGGAGTTTTGAATTTTTTTGGCTCTCACGGTTGCTGTTGAAGTACTTTCATTGAGATTTTGTTCTATTATTATTTAAAAAGAACTACTGCTATCTTAATGTAAAATTTATGTAAAACGTAGTTGAAATGAAGGCAAGATATACATACAGAGAAACAGTCACGCTATGAGTTGTATTGGAGGTCACTGAATGTGAAAAAGTCAGGTCCTGCTCTCTTGAGATGGTGATGTCCAAAAAAATTGAGATTGTTTCAGTTCCTTGTTATTTCTCATAGCTAAGGCAGATTACATGGCTATCTCAGTCCTCCTTTCTAAGAAGAGATTTTGGGTTATATTAAGTACTGTGTAAGTCTAATGAAGTGTATGAAAGGAAAATAATTCTCTCTTACAATTTCTATCGGGGTTGAACCCATATGTTCACGTGCTGGTATATGAGTCAGGAACTTTTAGCCTCTCTCTATGGAATGGCAATTTTTATGCCGTAGTTGAACCATTTTCCCATAGTTTGCTGATCTTTCATCTCATTCAGTGTCTCAGACCATCACATTCTGAAATACAGAATTGCTTAAAAATAAGCAGTATTTAATAATTTATGCATTTGAGTTTTTTCTTACACTCAAATTGCTTTCAGCCAATTAATATATTGGCAGTTCATTTTTTTTTTTTGCATTTTCGTTCAATTTGTTTTGCCTTAAATTGCTGCTACAATTCATTATCACTCAGTGCAGAGCACAAACATTACACAGGTGCATATGTTAATTCATCCTGTGCTGTAAAACCAACACTAATCAAATCAAATGGACTTGGCTGCAAAATTCAATGTTACTGTTACACAGGCTGCTCAGTTCCAAATGCTGTAAAGTCTGCAAATACTTAGGAAGATGAAGTAGGAGTTACACTGCCACATGGCTGAAAGTACATTTTGCTCACACTACTTCTTGTTCTGTGTGGATTTCTGTATCACACAAGACAGTTCATTATAACTCACTCAAAAGGGCACCTACACTGTTTCTCAGTTATGTTGTTTAATGACCTAAAAAGAGGCTTATGTCTCCACTTTAAGCATCAGAGGTTCAGATGCTAAACAAGTATTTGTACAGTGTGACAATTCTCATTATGTCACAGCAGTGCAGGGACAAATGTGTTCTTAGTGCCTAAATCATCCCTGATTAATGAGATCTGTTCTTTTATCACAAGACAATTGCTACTGTATGCTTTGAGCTCATGCCATACTCCTTTCGAGACCTTACTTCTCTTTGGAGTTTTAACATGCTCAAGACAAAATGCTTATGTGGTTGGAAAGGTGTGGAAATAGGTATGTGTAAAACCAATCTATTTTGCCAATAACTTGATGAGTTTTGATTTCTATCCTTATTCTTTTAATGTGAACAGCTTTTCCCCTTTGCAGCACATTTCTCCCTTCTGTTTCTTTGCTGAGCTTATAGTTATCCTATGATGGCAGACACAATTTAGTTGTGGCTTAAGGTAGCCAGAGATTGATCTTCTGACATTTTGCACAACAGTTTAGAAGCATCAGAGTTCAATACCAAAAGTAAGAAACCCATGTAGCAATCATGAAGCAGGTAAGGCATGTAAGAAATTGTTGCTCTTTAGTATGCAGAATGTTTACTACTGGACCACTGATTTGGAAACCTCTAATAATCATGGGAATTGGGGCTGAATGTTACAGTGAACATAACCTGAGTGTTCAGTGAAATCCAGACTGGGTTTTTTATTTAATGCTGGTTGGTTTCTGCTCAGAAGATGTAATTACTTTGCCTCCAGACAGGACTTCTGATTTTAGGGTGCTTCTACCTATGAGTATAGAGAAACATTGGTTGCTTCTGCCTTATCCAACACTAGAGCTGTGGACTGCAGTATGTGTACATGCATGCAAGTGAGAAATTCCCCTAGCTAGCACTCTGAATTGAAATGCAATAACTTCTCCAATAGCATTCAGAAATATACCAAAACTTTCAAAACAGCAGTATGTCTGACCTTGCCTACCTTTGTTTTGGTGACTACAAAGCCAGAAGGCCAGGGTCTACCAAGACCCAACTGAATGGCTTATGGCACAAATCAGCAAGCTGGATTCAAAACTGACCTGAAGATCAGGTTTGCACTTCAGCATACCTAGGGCTGCCTTACATAAAAGCTAACATGTCCCAAGGCTGTCTCAAGATACTGAAACAAGAAGTACGGCGAATGGTTTTATCCTGGCTGTATTCGTTCCTTCTCTGATAGTTCTGTCACATGCAGTTGTAGTCATATATGATGACAGTGATTTAAAAAAGAAGCCCTATGCCTACTTTGTGACAATGATGAATCACTGCAGGAGTGATCTTTAGGGTTCAATACACGGCTTTGCTTCAAATTTCGCAATCATTGCAGCAAATAGCAATAACAACAGGGAACAACCAAGATCCACAAACAGGAATTCATCCAGGATTTTCATTGGTAATAGTTTGACAGAAGTTTGGACCAACAAAACACATTAGGAAATTCATTAACATTCTTTAATATTTTTTTATAAATTATCTTCAGTTTATCATAATCCAGTGAAAATTTGAAACTGGTATTTCTAGGAGCAGAGTAAAATGAAAGGAAATCAATGATGCGTGACTTCAGAACACCTTAGTCTGGAATAGATAAAAATCTTCTGGAAAAAAAATCTTTGAATAAATGATACTTGTATAAACTTCTCTTTGAAAATTTTTTGAGGTACATTTGTCCAGAATAGGTCTAATGCTGAGAACAAGTCAGATAATGAAGTTAACATGTTTATTTAGACATTATTGGAGATCATCTCACTTCAAAAGCTATAATGATAACAGAACATGGAAAACTCAGTCTGGTTAGGATTATATGAAGCTTGTTGATCTTTAATATGAACAATAGATTTTAAAAATTCAATTTATAAAAAAATTTCCTTCTGCAATTGTGTGGGATTGAGAGCTTTAATGTCAGTTGAATTATAGTATCAAATTGCTTGTCTCTTGACACTATCTTATGCAATTAAATATTTTTCATGTTGTACTTCAGAAGGAAGAGCTAAAATATAAAATATGCTTAAAATGGAGAGTAGAATGTAAAGCTTGAA